GAATGCCGTAATATTGATTTTGGTAGGAGTGACTCAAAACATAACTGACCTGAAATTTCCTGATGGCAAATCTGACTAAAAACTTCTCATGAATGCAATGAGACTATGGAATAGAATTCAAAGTCTCCTACCAGAAGTATGCTAGAAGCAAAATATCTTAAAAGTATACTGGGGGAGGCAGAATGGAAGCTTTCTGTGCAAATGGACAAGTTTAATAAGACCTTTCATCTTTCATGTCTGTGATTGAGTTTTGTTTTATTTTGGACTGCAATAAAAGCTTTATTCTTCAAGGGCAGTAACAGCATGTTTTTTGTAACTCCTTAGCTTTCAACAATAGAGTATAATATTTTCGTTCACCATTGTGTTAAAACTGCAAGTGTTTTTCTGACTACTTTGGCATAGTGATTTATTAGTGTTGACACTCTGGGGCTTTTTGTCAGTAGAAGACAAAAGGTCAGGTTTTGCTCCTTCTGGCAGATTACATACAAACTATGCAAATCACTACAGTGCGGGTTATAACCTAATTATGTTATACATCTTGAGCAATGTTCGTTTCTGTAAGGGAAAGCTGTCTAGCATTTTAGCTGCTAATGTATTTTTCCTTTTCTTTGTATTCTACAAAAGAAACCACATAAAAATTGATAGTATATGTGCAGTTTTTGCTGCTGTCCATCTTACCTGCTTGTGCTGCTAAAATATATGAAAGCAGCATAGTAGTCAAATTGCCTACATTTATATGGTTAGTGGCTTTTCTAATGCAAACCTGATTTATTTTTTTTTTCAGGGCTTTAACAATCTGTTTGTAACAATTAGAAATAAACGGTAACGTCACTTACAGAATTTCATAGAAGACTAGAAAAATTTAATCTTTGTTTTGTCCATGTAAACCGAACCTGAAAATTCAAGATACTTTGTAATCTTATAGCTCGTATTTTTATATGCCAATTTATAGTCCACTTGTGAGTTATTCTTTTTAGACATAAAACATATGCATTTTAGGAATAAGCACTTGGTTAGTACATTTTTCTCAAACATTTTCATTAGCTTTCGCTTCAAGTGAAATTCTTCTTTTTAAGTTCACATCTCTCAGTTGCATTAATAAGTTGTTTCTATGTATCTGTATTCCAGATTCAAGTTAAGGCAGCTCCACATAGTTCCCTGCTGACCTCAAGAAACTGGCGATTCTAAACGAGGGCAATTTTAGTCCAGAAATCATTCCTTTGACATCAAATAGCTGAAATTGTCCAATGACTTCTTTTTCTGTGGGAAAAAATAACAGTATAACTTTTGGCTTAATTCCTTTGATTCTTTGCTATAGAGATTTGTATGTATGTATATAGATAAGCACATGCATATACACTATATTGGCCAGCACAAATACTGGACTAACAGCAACAGTGATCGGACTTCTGTGTTCACACACCTTGAGACAGGCTTTCCATCTGTAGAGTTACTGATTGAAATGCAGATCAAGTCAATCAAGACGAAGTTCACATGCTGAAGAAGTGAGTCTGACTCCTAGTCCACAGAATCCACAGCCTAAGGAGACCACTACTGGCCTGACCACGGTTCGTTTCCCTGTTAACTGTGTTTAGCACAGGGTAAGGACCAACCAAAGATGAGTCAGGGCTGAGGGGTGGTGGCAGGCCAGTACTGGGAGTTGTGCTTTATCGTATCTGAGGTTTGAAGGAGGACAGCTGATTACAGGACTGTCAGCACTTAATTTATGCATGCACATGCATGCACACTTTAAGGCTTATTTAAAAAAAAACAACAAAACCTTCATATCACCTATGTGCCATTTAACTGTATTTGCATGTCAACAGGAGTTGAGAAATCTAGCTAAAGCTTCTTTGTTCTTGTTCGATACTACTCGCTGAATTAAAGTTTTTATACTGAGTTTTACATAACATCTCGTAATGATTGAATAGAAACATAAGCAGTGTTACATAGTTCATTTGGGCTGCATGTCCTTGTGTTGTATTGCGCTCACCTTATTAGTCTTCTGCAAATGTTCCACTTTTCTTTAGTTTTGGCAAGCTGCTCAGAACACCATTTCCTTCTTTTCATTCTGGTGGAGTCCAATTGTTCTTTGCTTATACTACATTAGCCTTTCCCAGAATTTAGCCTGGAGTTTTTATACACTGGGGAGTTTCCAGTGTGTTTAGATTATAAAATGATTTCCTAGTGTGACTGACAGAACCCTGCTTTCAGATAATACCGTCAAACTAGATTTTGGTGCTGGTTTTCTGTGTTTCTTTGCAGTATTTTGTTATACAGAAATGATGTGTACAAGCATTTTGTCTCTTGAAAGTGATATTTTTCAAGTCATCCTCCTAAATAGTTAGAATTGTCCCCAAGCTTTTTCTTGTTCTGTTTCTCATCAGGTTTGTGTAGATCAATTGGTGTAAGCAACTTTCTTATCAGTCATCTTGAGCAACTAAAGGAGGACTGTGTGATTACTCCACATGTTAATCAGGTGAGTGGATGAATATATTTAAAATATCTGGGTTTGGGGTTTTGCTTTGGGTTTTTTGTTTAATAATCTCCTCTCCACCCCTATGCCTGAAAGACTACACCCACACTCGCCTTAGTCATACAGTTTCTTCTCTTTCATTTCTATATACGTATTGAAAACCATTCAGGAAGGTGACCTGAAGTGAGGGGAGAGCGGGGAAGTCCTTCCTCCTTTCTTTTCCCCAGTTTCTCCCAGGCTACTTGTTTTTGGCTGGTTTTAAGGCACAAATGGTCCATGTGTCAGTTTTTGATGATAAAACAGTTTAGAAATAAAATTCAGGGAGCACTGAACATTTAGCATCTCCAGAGTGAACAAGGTTTTGGAGGGGCTGTGTTCAAATACTATTTATAATTCCTCTAAGCAACACTGAAAGCCTCAAGTGATTACATACCCATGCAAGGGTGCTGTTTCCCTTGCTTCTCCCTTATTTCATATTCATATTTCAAGATCACATTAAATTCAGTGAACTTCTTTAGGAAGGTGCTGCAAGGGCCCTGGCAAAATTTTTTTGCTGCCCTAGGCAGATAAAAAATGGCCACCTACATACTGGCAGACTTCCAGGGCACTGAGAACTATTCCCTTGTTGCAGTTTTCTGCCCACAGCTGTGCTGGAAGTTCGTGCTCCCATTCCTACCGCCTCCTGCCAGTGAAAGTGTGCTTATGCTAACGCAGAACTGGGAACTGGAATGCATGAAGTGCAGGCGTGTGCTTTTCCCCTTAGTACAGGTGGTGAGGATTTCTGGCAGCTGTTTGTGCTTTAATGTCATAAACAGCCACAAAAAGGTTGCTCAGAACGTGACTGGCTGAACCTAACATCTCTGATTTTTGCTGTCCTCTAAACTAAAGGTTACTAAAGGACAATTATGAGTGATGTTAAATTAATGTAAAACGATATAAAATACTTAAATTCAATTATTCAAAATAAACCATTGAAATATGTCTTAAGATGGGCAGGTTTATGACTGTTTAAGAATCGGTGAGTTTGCCAAGGTTCAATTGACTGCTTTTCAGAAATATGCATCTTCAAAGTCTTACTGGAGTTTAGCATAAGTTGTTGCTGTCTATTAAATGAGAATAGCCTTTCAGCGTCCTACTAAATCACTGCAAGGAAAAAAATGTGACCTTGTATTTGTTTTCAAATTTCCTCTTGCCCTCAGTGTCAAAATGTTACCAATCTTACTGTGTCAGTAGTGTTAATGGAGAAAAGTTGTTTCTTCATACTATTTGATGGCATCTCTTTTTCCGTGGCTGAAAAAGAGGAGACAGAAAGCTGAGATGGTAGTGATACTGGGAGATGGGAGGGTGCCCCTGCTGTATTCACATAGCCATTTCTTAAAGGTGATGCACAGCATTGTTCCAAATTAAAACCAAAAAAAACAACAAGGAAATATCCATGCCACTGCAAACTGCTCTACTTTGAACAGTTTCGTTATAGCATTAATTTACGATTTTTAGAGTTACAGGAATCTTACAAGTCATAGTTCAGGTTATCCTCAAAAGCATCTTTATTCTGTTTCTTGCTTAGTGTTGGAGAGTTGCTGAGTCTGACGGTGAGACTACTTAAGCATTATAAAATAACTAATGAATTCCTAAATTTAAATTGGGAATGGAAGTGCTATACTTCCATTTACATATGCATAATATACATATACAAAACATTTCCATATACAAAACAATTGTGAATAATAACTGTATACAAAGTCTAGATATTTAAGAAACAAGTGAAGGAAAATCACTTCCCTCTTAGCTATGTTAAATTTGCATAAAGAATTTAGGGTGTTCTTACAATTCCAACAGTTCTTATGATGTTAAAATTTAAATGTATTTCTTCTGTGGAGTATATAGGAAAGCAGGAGAAAGGATGTTCTTTATTAGACTTTTATAGTGTGTGCAAATGGGGTAGTAATCAATGCTTCTATTTTACAAATCAAGTTGTAAGTACTGCCTCTGTTCTTGGTTCCCGGAAAAAAACACTATCATCATGGCTTTTAAAGAAGTAGGAAAGGCCTGTCTTTTCAAGAATATAGTATTGTTAACATATTTGGTAGTAAGCAAGCACCTTTTAAAATTACAATCTACTATTAAAAATACTGTTAAACACTGTGTGAAGTGATGATAAATATTTTATTCTAGCATCATGTAGAATGAAACCTACAACCGAGAAGTTACAGGTTTGTATTCCAGAGTTTGTAATTGACTTGGCAGTAATAAGTTTGGATTTATGCTCGAGGAAGTCTTTGGAGTGTCTTTGAAGGCTCTTATGCCTGTCACTCATTAGGGGAAAAAAATTACATTTTCTAAGAATTTAATGAATATGTATGTTTCATTTGATAAAGTGATACACTGAAACCAAATATAAACTGTTCCTCTCTGAATTCCATGTATCCTCACTGTTATTTCTACTTTTATAGAAGTGCAAATTAGTGTAATGACCTCAGAGAAATTTAGTAATGTTAATGTTGTCATTAATATTGAGCTCTATTATGTAAATTTGTACAAGGTAGAAATGTATTTTAGTGTTTTGAGTTATTAGGAAATAACCCCTTTGTACATAAACTCACCTGAACTGTTCCTCTATAGACAAAACATTTCTAGGCTTATATTTCAGTTTTATAAAGAGAAATAATTGTAAGACTGTGCATTCCCCTTGAGAAACTGACTGAAGTCCAGACACAGGGAGGCTTTACCAGCTGAAAAGAACCCACAGCAGGGTGGAAAGAGCAAGGCTTTTGCATACTGTCATCCGAGGTATGACTTTCTAGGTCCGTGTGACAAGATTGTTATTAGGCTCAACCTTTCCCCATTGGGCTATGACTGCTTTTAAACACAGCACGCACTTAGATTTCCCCTGTGGCTGACCAAGTAGCAGTGGTGAAGAGTTCTGTAATGTGAACTGTGAACTCTTTTATTAGACAAACGGCAGTTTTTACACACAAATCATTCAGGCTAGAGTGCCAGAAAAAATCAAGATCTTCCTCTACCACCATATGACGGACAGCCCTTGCCTGAGAAAAGTTTGGTGACTGAAATAGCAAGGGTGGGACAAGCCAGGAAGTAGGAATTATTATTTTGAGGGGAAGTACATGCTGGCCACTCACCCTATGCCTCTTCTAGCTCAGGATGCTATTCCCTTGCATTCAAATGCTGCTAGAACCTTCCAGAAAGTTTTCACAAGAAAAATAAATTCAGAATTATTTTATGCATTTGATTATTTTAGCAATATATTTAAGAAGAAAAATACTTGCTGCTACCAACAGATAACTGCATGTGCTAAAAATCAATTCACAAAATTGGGGAGTCTCCTGATTCAGTGAAAGGCAGAAAGTACAATCTTCTCAGGTGAGAAGTAGTTGTTGCTGTGTATTCTGCTTGTGAAGCAGGCAGGTTACATCTCAGCATGCTGTCTTGCTTTAAATATTTGTGGTGTAACCTGGAAATGTGCTGCCTAGAAATCTTGTTAGACCAGCAGGTAAATTCTGCTTGCAGTTATGTTAGTAATAAATGCTGAATAAGTCACCTGATGCCATTGGGGTACCACGGATTTTTCAGCATTTGATCCTAAATACATAATTCTTTATTTAATATTTTCTAGGTTATTTGTTACACTTAGTGTAAAGAACATCTACTAAAATTGCTTATTACTATTGTAATAATCAAGTAATACACCCTGCTTGCTCTTCCTTTTTTCTCTCATAGTTTTGCGTAAAAACAATGAGAATATTTTCTGGTCAGCTCAGGTGCAAACAAGTGAGTAACTGTATGACCTAAACACTGGTCTTACACATACAAACATGAAATACAAAGGCTACTCAAAGGTCAAGAAACATCAAAGGTTGAAGACATGGATGTGTCTGCTGCTTGAACCATGTTCCCGAGTCCACCTAGTAATTTAGATCACAGCAGCTTTAGGCTGACTCAGCCCAGCCTTCGAGGGGCACAGTTTTTTCTTAGAGCATATTGAATGACTGCCAGCCTATTGTTCCCAACTATTGTTTTCTGAAAAGACAACATGTACTAAAGATGAGAAACAGGAAATGTTCATTTGTCCTTTCTGTGGCAGAAGAAATTTTCCAGATTCCATGTGTTGAGGTAATTGTTCAGAAGAGCAATTTTCTTCAAAATATGCAAGAGTTAGATCACTGGAACAATGGTGATGGCCAATCACAAAAATACATGACATGTTTATGTATTTTGTAAATAACACTACCCGTTTTCATCTGAATGCAGACGAAGGTATGCTTCTTACAATGTATAAACTGTGAAATACGTATTTGAATAACATTAGGAATATTACAGAGGTTCTCTTTTGGCTTTTGCTACATGCCAGAATATGTGGCTCTTCTGAGATCCTTACTTTCCAGTAACCTCTGTTTCCTTTTACTTCCAACAACTACATCTTTGTAGCTTGTTACTTTTCCTCTTTTAACTGGTTCTTGGCCATTTGTTATCTTCCTTCCTACAAAGGGTCTGTCCTTCACACTTCATTCCACAGTGCGACTGCTTCCCTGCATAAGCTGTTGGTGACATCACACACAGAATACGGGATTTTCCAGATGAAATCCATGCCAAGAGGCTTTGCTTCCGAGGTCAGACCCTCATCCTAAGCAAATTGTTCTGGTTGGTCTCTTGCAAACCCAGTCCCTGCCCAGCCCCCTCCCCTTGCCTGGGCAACTCAAAGATCATTAGTAAAGAGACAGGAAGGGAAGTAGATTTGGGGAAGAGAAGATAGTCTCAGATCACCAGTAAAAATGACCTGATAATGATTTCCAGTATGCATTTGCATATCTCAAACACAGAGCAGAACAAGAGTGCAAGTCCGACTGCAGGTAGGGCAGACAGCTACTCTGTGCACCTTACTTCTGGGGGCAGCATAAAATACGTAGTAAACTACTGTGCCAATTAATGGCAAAATGCTTGTGGATTAATGTCCTTCACATGTCTGCTAAAACTGGTAACTTACATCTATCTCCCAGAAGCAGTGATTTCACTCATGTTGTATTTTTAAAAGGAGAGAAAAAATATTTTCATTTATCAATGATGGCTTCTACTAAATATACTCTCAAGGTTTTTACTAAAAGTTTGTTTCTGTTTATCTAAGGTTGAGTACCACCCTTTCCAAAGGCCTCAGGAGCTGGTCAATTATTGTAGGAGCAGAGATATTGTTTTTGAAGGCTACTGTCCTTTAGCCAAAGGTGAAGCACTCACTCATCCTACTATCATTCAGCTGGCAAAGAAATATGGCAGAACTCCAGCACAGATTTGCATACGCTGGAGTATACAGGTAATGGAAGGTGGTAATAAAAGCATGTCTCCTCTCTCAGGAAAAAAAATGCAAATACTTTGGGTTTTATGCATCAAACCAGAATTTATACAGAAAGTGTTTTTGCCTTCAGTATATTAGCATCACATGAACTAACTGTGCTGTACTGGAAATTTGGAATGTAGTACACAAAGCATGGCGGTCTTTTCAATATGCAAATAATCTGATTGTAGAGAATTAAAAGAACCACCAATAAAAGAGATGTTTCCAAACTAAATGTTACAAGCAGTATGGGGCACTGTTCCATTTCTGTCACTCAACACGAAGTACTAAGCAGTGAAATAGTGTATTAAGTTGACATCAACCACATAATCTGTGTTGGAATTTAATGCAGTGTATGTAACTGCAATTAAAAATAGCATCCAGAAATGTCAGTATCCTCTGAAAAATGAAATTAAAACCTCAGAAGACATGAGGAATATCTTCACATGTTTTGAAAAGATTATTTTCTTTGAAACTATGTACATTTTAATGATGAGAAGCATTATGTTTTTCAGAATGGGATTGTCACTATTCCAAAGTCCACAAAAGCAGAAAGGATACAGGAAAACTGCAAGGTAAGATTTGGTTATGCACTCAAGTCTGACTAACATCTGAGTTACTGTTTTTAACGCTTTGGTTTGCTCGCCCATTTTCCTATACAAGTTTTATATTGGGGCAACTCAGTTAAAACTGGCAGATTATAGTACTATAAAATTACTACAATATAGTAGAAAACCATAATTCACAAACATCAGAAATCAACTGGAGAGCTAATAATTACTATGTATAAAAAATACATCCATAGAAAGACCTTTCACAGTTGATTTTTTTTAATTAATATTTGTATTTATTACTTGGCTGATTGTAGAACATCCTAATCTGGTTATGGTTAGGTCCTCTTTGTGAGAGGAACGTAAGTCAAATGGAAGGAGTTTGTATGCTGTGCCTAACACTGTATGAAAGCTGTAAGACTCTCTTGGGGATATCCCAGATACAGACCTTCTAAGGAAATCAAATCATGTTCCTGCCAGAGCTGACTCTTCCCCTACCTTCTTCCTTCTACTCAACTTGCAGAGAAGGTCCCAGCATGAAGGGACAAAGATAAGTGAGGAATGAATGAGGATTGGCAGCATGATTCCCCCCAGCCTTTTTTAAATTTCCTTTTCATACCAAATGTTTTTTAATTCATTACTTCATTTTTCTCTCCATTTCTCTACTCTGAAAGTGTGCTTTCTTTGGGGGAGAGGAAACCACAACTACCTTATTGTTACTTCCAAAAATATCATAGGGGTATGAACTGTTTGGCAAATCAGGAAGAAACTTTACAAGAAGATAGGAAACTTCTGTCTGGTAGTTAAATCACTCTGTGTGTGTGGAGATGTAAATCAATGTATGTGTAATAAGGATTTCTCCTGGTGGCTATGTCTGTTTATATAGCTCCTGCCTTGACTATCTATTCTGACATGCATGCTGCCTTCTGTGGTACAAGCGTAGCTGTTTGTGGTACTGTATTGTGAACCAGATCAGAGAACAAAACCAGGTTAAAAATCCTTCCATATTATTTTTACTTGATTTTATTTTATTTTTCCCAATGATATTTTAGATCCAGATTAATTTTGGGTTTTTTACAGGGTTTACTGTATGGCTCCACCAATTCACTTTGCACAATGGAGGGAATGCATTTCAGTAAAACTTAAAATGCTTAGGGTGGAGAGGAGGAGGGGAGAACTGGCACTGTTACCAGATGTTGTTTATCACATCTCCCTTTCTTTTTTTTTCCTTTTCCCCATGCCAGTGTGTTGGCCTGAGTCTCTACCACTTCTAGTCAAGTAGGTGAAAGCATGGACCTCATTAAGCCCTTAGTATTTAATATAAGATACAGTATTTCTGGTTCTGTGACTGTTCCCTCGTTTAGGTTTAAAAAGCATGAGCACTGAGGTTTGACTACAAGGGTCATTCCAGCAGAGAGTGATCACTGGATAATGCAGGATGGGAGGAGCTCTTTTGGCAGCAGTTCAGGCTCCACGTGATCTTTTTATTGAGTATGGAGGGGCTCTGACAAAGACAACAGACCAACTTAAAGCAACTTCAGTTCCGAAGTGATAATGTCTGAATAAGACACCTGCTAAGAAAACACTGACACAGTCATTCATGTTGCAGGTCTCACCACAGGAGAAGTCGGTGGCTGTAAGAACCTATGCATGAAGACAGGTGGTTGCTTTCAAGTTTGAGTTAGTACTGAGGCACTATAGCACAGTGTCTGTTTCTGTACTAGCTGATCCGTGAGTCTTTTGTCTAAGTACGCATAGAAAAGATAGACATAGCCTTTGGTTTGCTAGCTTTGTGAATGTCCTTATACTTTCTAATAATTCTCTTTGGCTAAAATCCTGAGGAAAAGAACTATAACACTCTAAAGGGAACACTGGGATATAAGTGAAATACTGAGCTCAGGTTTCCAGAGGGATTGCAGTCAGGGTATTCATATACCTCTGGCAGTGACCATATAGAGTGCTGTCAAAACCAGTTTTGATACTACCATTATCTTGGACCCTTGCCTGAGACCAGAGTGGTACAAAACCGTCTTAACAGAGTCTACAAATAAAAATGAGTCACAAAGGAGCAAAGGACCCAGTGGAGCCTGTCAGTTTAATGGAGTATTTGTCTATGACAAAATAGAAGAATTTCCAGAAGGAAAAATATGGAAAAATTCTGCCTCACATTTAAATGAATCTTGGTCAGTTTAAATAACAGAAACACTCTTGATTCTCTCTGTGTTCATGATATTAACTATATATGCATTCCCATAGGTGTTTGATTTTACAATAGCAGAAGACGATGTTGAAATTCTGAATGGAATGCATGATGGGAGACATGTTTCGTGGGACCCAAGCCATATTGAGTGAATGAAGGTTTGAGCTTTTTCCTTTCAGCAATCAGTGAGTCACACCATGTAATTTAAATTCAGGGAAGCTTACAATAAGAATATAATAGTAAGATTAATGTCTGTTATTAATAACTGATTTGAAATCCTTAACATTGATAACAGACAAAAGATATTTTTGAGGGTAGCACTTCTGTACAGAGATCTTGCATTTCCATCTCAAACCCTGATCCTTAGTTCATTGAAGCCCATGCAAAGCCTCCTGTTTATACCATTGACCCTGCATGAGGCCATTTATTCAAAGAGCATAAGGAGATACCCCTTCTTTAAAAATACAAGAAAAAATGCTACCTACCTAGTGTACAACACAAGTGTTAAATACAAAATAATTTTTCTATTATTTTTTCAATTTTCCCTTTGTTAGAGGGATACAATGTAAGAAGAAGAAAAAGCTGTATGGAAAAAAATGTTAATACCATTATTATTACAGTATTTATAATATACAATATACGGCAAATCTCCATCAAAAATATAATCTCACTGTAATAAGCAATATCGGAGCATCACCAAAAAAAGTTGTATGCATACTATTGCATAATAATGGCATTGATCCAGAGAGTTCTATTTACAAGCCTGTAGGTATAACAAAGTAGAAATCTTTCCAGAGAAGTCTATGTACAAGTAATCTATCTGCATGGCTAAGAATGCTAAGCAGCAAGGTCGAAGAGCCAGAGGCATCTTTGTTACTGCGGATCTTTTTCTCTTCCTAGAAATTCTGGTGAGTTTTGTGTAGCTTTTAGTGATAATTAGTTTTGCTTTCATTTTAGATTTGTCCAGGAAATCTCATTAAGAGACTATACTGTTCCTCAGATTTTCTTATAAAATATGTATATGTAGAAAGAGAGAAATGTAGCTCTAGATACATGTAGGTTACAGATCTCTTGAGAAATATATCTGCAGAATCTTTTATCAGCCAAGTATTCAACTTCTAGTCACATTGGTTTGATATTTTAGGAGTTCCTGTGTCTAGAAAGGTATGGAAAACCTGACTATGATTTATATTGTGTGTGGACTTCCTGAGGCAGTTTTCCCAGTGCTGTTCTGCTTTAGTCATATCGCAAAACAAAGCTCCTTAGTTTTTTATCAAGTGACTTACAGCAATCATATATTCTAGCCTGCATTGTTTGTCCTGAAAGTAGAGCTTCTACACAGCTTGGCTAAAATACAGACAAATGTAACTTTTTGGTCACAAATCCAATAATTGGCTGGTTTTTTCCTGGTAAACGTTTTCACAGAAATTTGTCTAGATTTGCCTCTGGAATCATTAATGTATTCTTTATTATTTTAAAATACAAGGTACTGTATGGAATTCTGTGCTCACTAATACCTGTACAATGTACTATTCGAAGAAGATACACAATCTCCACAGTAAGGTTATTTTCTAGAGTTTCATGTGTGGCCTGCAGTTTGAGGTGCTTCAGTATCTGGGAATGCCGTTTTAGGTGTCTAAGAACAGCTATGTACCTCACTTAGCTATGATGAGGGGTTCATTAATAGTTCCAAAAAGTAAGGCTTATTTATAAAATTAAGGTAATTTTTAGGCTTTTTTAGCTTTTACAGAAAATTATGGCAATGACTAAGTGAAAATTGGAAAGATTGCCCAGAAATAAACCTTTCTACCAGTGGTCGTCAGCTAATCCTGCTTTTGAAAAGTCACTTTATAGAACAATACCTTAGCAATATGGAAAAAAACCTGCTACTGTGCTCTTGAGGGATTCTTTGCTTCACAATGTATCTGAATTCATAAAATGAGGACTAGAGGTGAATCATGTGCCTAGTATTCACTCAGTGTGGCTGTTTGGCAGTGAAGACTTTTTCAGAAACTACAAAAGAGAAGTTGGAGTTTTACCTCTAGTTCTCTCTAAAGAAGCAGACGTCATCATGCTATTTTCAACACAAACGATGCATACAAAGTGAACCAAATCTTTATGTATGCTAGCAAATTCTAGCTTCAGTGTTACCAGCACAGTATCAATTAGGACTAGCTACGTGGCTAGAAGTCCCATGTTGGTCAGAACAGCTCAGGTTTTTTCTGCACTTATTTCTGACTGATCCACCTCCCTGTCCTGAGCTAAAGAGAACTAAACCAGATTTTCTTGCTAATCCTCTATGTAGATGCCTTCAGGCTACAGTGAGGATGGTGTCCTAATTCACTGATATATTTCATTGTTCCCTCTGTCAAAGAGATTTTACAATGTTTTTTGTGTCTGCTTTTGCTAGGAAGTCAAGCCACCATTTTCTCTGATTGAGATCATGGTATGTAAGCAGTAAAATGAGTAATGGAAGGAATAACCAAATAGAAAGAGTATTACTAAAAAACCATTCTTGTTAAGAAGCAGGTGTAGCAAGTTACAGTTTTAAACTGATACTTACTTTCCTAAATTCCTTCAGACTTAGTTTTTGTCAGTTCAGGACTTTTTTCTGGGTTTTGTGTTTCGTTTGTTTGTTTAATACTTCCTAGAAATTCCTTTGCTACCAGGTAGTGGCTTTAGAACTATGGAAGAGTGTAATTTTAACTATTACAAAGTAATTTGAGACAATATAAGTTTTTTAAGTGCCAGGACTCAGCTGCCCCATGCTTTCTCCCAGGTGTGGTGTGCAGTTTTGCACCTTGTGCCATCACTAATAGTCATTGTTTTCTGCCAGAAGCTGTAATTGCCCTAAGACTGGAACCCTATTATCTCCCATGTGCTTGGGTTATATCACTGGAGCCTCTTCCTTTGAATACGGCATTCACAATTTTATACTGTGTTAGTTTTAATTTAGAATCATTGAGCAAATCCTCTTTGAGTTTTGATCAGGTTGCAGAGTGAAAGACAGACTCAGTGCATTCATCGGTTATGGTCCTCTCTACAACTAAGTTGATATTACAGATGTGGTAGATAGTTTTCTTTTTAAGCAAAGGCTGCTGAAGGTAAGTCCACACCACCTCATCTAAATTAACATTCCTAAAGTACTGACAACTTTGATCATAGTATAAAGAAGTAAGACAACTAATAAGAAATTGGGAAGTGAACCGTAGTGAGATTTAGGGGTAGCAGTGAGGAGTGATGTTGTGTAATAAAAGCAGAACCTAGAAGACCAAAAGGATATAAAAGTGCTGAACATATAAAACCAGGAAATTTAACTCCATTTTTTATGTCTACTTTGGTCAGACATAAAAAGCCTGGAGGCGCTAATTTTTTAAGATTTTTTTTTTTTTTTAAACTCAGAGCTCATCCCTCAAGTAAATTCTTTTAATTATATGCATGTTCTTCCCCCAGGGCTGAAATTCCTCCTCTTGTCCATATTTATTTAAGACAAGCTTTCTCTAGAGAGAAAACCTTTTCACCTTTCTACAATGACCATTTTTAAGATACAGCAATGCACCCATTTTATCAGCGTAACCCGTCATCTTGCCAGTAGGAACAGGGAATACACCTGAAAATTGAAGATACTTTTTCTTCCATATTATGTATGTCATTTCTGGTAGTGACTGGTTGGGGCACTCCCTTCTAGTTAAGATAAACCATTAATAAGATACAATTTACCAGTGTTATCTACCTAAGTGCAATCAGCTGCCTTTGCTTGAGCACTGTGACTCTTAATGGCAGGGAACTCTCTTCAAACAAATAAGGAAAGGAAAAAAATAAACTAAAAGTCAGTGGACAAGGTGAGGCCATTTTCTGTGCGGCCAAGTAGCTTCCTGTCTGAGTGGCTCCCTCTCCCCTTTTTCTTGGCTGTTTCTGAATTTCATCTTTTATACTACTGGAGATGAAGGTGCCTAAGAATGTTTAACTGGAAAATATTGGGAATGGTTTTGTAAAGTGCATACTTCAGGATTTTTCTTTTAAATCAGGCTGCAGAGGTGTTTCAACCACACCTGTCCCCCAAACATAACTTTCAAGACATTATTCTTTTGACTAGCACACGTAATAAAGAAACTACAATACTAGTAAGTTCACAAGACCACTAAGCCAAGCAGACTGCACAACATTCACCCTTCTTTTTGCACTGTGGTTAACACCAGCTGATTTTCTTTTTAAAATACCAGTGCTGAACTGTCTGACAGGAAAGCTGACGTTAACCCCATGTTTTTGAAAATGGGGACAAAGGTGGAGTAGCTCTTGCTGACACTAATTGAATCCAAGCAGTTAACCCTTTCCATATTGCCACACCCCTTCCAAAGCTTTGAAGCTCATCTCTGACTATAGCGCATGGGGTAAAAATAACAGATAAGCCAACCTTCTGGCAATTTTTGTGTTGCTGTACTGGGAATCTTTCTGTACTTAATCTTTTGGCACTTTGTGCAGCCTCCATTAAGTTGGCTGTGCTTTCGAAAGAAAATATCGAGTATTTGTACTGCCTTGTAATGAGTGTATGTTGTATTTATTATATAAATGATGCAGCCTTACTATTTGTCTTTATGAATGGCTGCTTATCCATCTGCAGCATCACGTAGGACTAATAGCAACTGCCAGGACATTATAGAACAGTAATGACTTCTAAGGGATCAGAGCATGAGAACTACGTCCAAAACTTGCCACTTTTCATTGGAGAGAAAAAAAAAAAGGAGAAAAAAAAAAAAAGCCCAAAGCCTGAAATGAATTTAAATCAATGATGCTGGTACTACTTCCCAGTGATATAACATGTATCATGCTGTAAACATTGTAGGCATGGCCAACATTACAGGGTGAGCTTCTCTAAGCAACTTTGCACAGATCCGTTCTACCAATCTCAATCGCTGTGCCCAAGAGGAATATTTCATAGTGGCTTTGCTAGCCAGTGCCCTATGAGAACCATTCTGTAGCTGAACTACTAATAGGAAATTCAAGAGTATGTTAGCACCGTTATCATCCTTTTAATGACTGCTTTACGTTTTTCTCAAGCAAAACAGATTTCCAAGACTTTCTAGATGAGGCTTCAAAATTCCAGTATAATGGACTAGTACTAAGTTGATAACTTGGCTGTGAAATTTGGAAA